AAAATAACTAACTAAAATTATAAAACTCTATCATTATAGTCTTTAAACTACATTAAGACAGCACCATCCAGTGATTAAAAAAATCATAAATAGTAAAACAAAACTGTATTATATCTATAGTATATTAGTATAAAAATGAGTTAATTATCTACTGCAAGGCTGATGGATTCATTAGTAGATTTATTAATGATGAAAGGATATTGGATTAACAGTAAAAGCTGTTGCATAAATGGATGCACACCTGTACCTGTATACCATGTATCTATAAAAACATATTTTAAGATCAGAGGATTCAGTAATGGAGTGAATGAATAAATACATGACAGTATGAACACATCACATCACATCAGTCACACAGTGAATCCTGCCACATGAAGCAATGAATGAGCTCAACTACAAATACATGTACTACTACTAAAATATAAAGAATTATTAAGAAATCATTGATATATATCCTTCATTTACTGGATTAGACTATCTGAAAGGAGGAATGGCTCCTGTATATGGGGCAATATGCTCAATCATTAATACAGGTATATGTATAAAGACAATAGTTACTGGATTAACTAAAAGGAATAGTGGCATTGTTCTACACTGCAGTCTCAAGTTGTATATGCATGTCAGAAAGTAGAAAATAACTACATGTACAAGTAATGCTGAGGCTAATTGGGACACTGCATGCATAGGCTATAAAAGTACTTTCTATCTCAGCACTACCTTGCATGCAAATGAATTTTAATGTAAAAGTATTAATTGATATCACAACTGAGGAGTAACTAATAACAATATCACAGCTAGTCCAGTGAGGTCACAAACAAAGGAACAGTTGACAAAGAGCCAGAGGGAAGACCAAAGGAGCTCCCAGTCTGAAGGGGTGGCCTGTGGCTTATACAGTGTCTATTGAGGCAGTACTAGTATAGAAGGATACAACACCACAAACCATTAGCTAACATCACCAATAACATAAAGTCATTGAATCTAATGCAATGAAGACATTGTAACAGATCTAGAAATAAGTTTGGGGAGATCAACTAACAGACTTAAAAGACAGAACAATGGAAGATTTCAAGAGACCTAAATCATGCAAATTTGGAGACCAAAAGACTCTTACACTCCCCCTAATCTAACAGTGGTCATTAATTCTCAACTATACATGCATCCAGCAATATATACACTACATGAATGCTATATATGGGCATAATAAATCATGATGAGGGACTTCCAGTATTCACAGTACATATAAAGGGCTCACCACTACTGCTGTTGGGGGCTGTGTAGCATAATAGCTATGCCAAGGACTGGAACTTGAAGTAGTTTGATAGCCACCACCAGCAACTTGAGGAATATACTGTACAGACAAGAGATAGAGGAATCAGTAGCTATATTGTATTGACTGATACCTGAGGATGATGATTACCATTGAGAGTTGCTGCTTGTTGTATCATTCTGCTAGTGGGAAGACTGTGGAAAAAGAAAGACAGTGAACATAGATATAGTGCAAATATACTGTGGACTATCTATACAATGAATCATTAAATCTGCAGTTACTATAATGTATTGTAATACAGACTCTCAATGGTCAAATGATCTGTATTAACATTACTGGCTAATTAATGGTGATGAACAATGATCAACTGTATGGCCGTAACTCAAAAAGTAGAAGTCGGAATCAGCTCAAACTTTCTACACAGAATAAGTACATCAATATGTATCAAAAAATGCAATAAAAATTTGGGGTGATTTCAGAGCCATTTTTTGGAAAAAACCATGGGCTATAGCCTTGGGTATTGTCGAGAATTTTGGCGTTTTCTTAAAATGGCCGTAACTTGAAAAACTGAAGTCGGAATCAGCTCAAACTTTCTACATAGCATAAGGACATCAATATGTATCAGAAAATATAATAAAAATTTAGTGTGATTTTGGAGCCATTTTTTAGAAAAAAAACCATGGGCTATAGTACAGGGCAATTTTCAGAATTTTGGCTTTTTTTAAAAATGGCCATAACTCAAAAATTTGAAGTCGGAATCAGCTCAAGCTTTCTACACAGGATAAGTACATCAATATGCATCAAAGAATGTAATAAAAATTCGGAGTGATATCAGAGCTGTTTTTTTTGGAAAAAACCATGGGGCATGGCCTAATGTACATCAGAATACAATGATACAGTGTAATAATAGCAGTAAGAGCTTAGAGACTACATCACACTCCTATAGTCTAATGATATACCAGCATCCAATGGTCCATACTTAACACT